TTATTTTTAATCAATAAAGGTATCTCATATTTTAATGTTGAGAAAAAAATAATACATTCAAATATGTAATTTATTGTGCACTCATGTGTGTATTAATAATATTATATAATATTTATAATCAATATACTTACTAAAGAAATAAATTGTGAATTGATGATATACATAATTATAATTTATTTAAATATTATTTAGATTCTTAGATTATTAATAGATAGATATTTCTTCTGAAAGAGCATAATCTCTACTAAACGTTTGAAACTTTAGTGAAGGTGAATTTTTCAAAATGTAACAAAAACAGACAGTGTGTATAAACAAATATTAAACAATATTAAACTATATAAATAAATATTAAATATTAGATGTTATCGATCTGGGATTAATGAAACAATATTATTTCTAAAATAAAGAAAACCTTATTTTAAATTCACAAACTAATAAAATTTTATATATTACATCTATTTTATTTTACTATTAAAAATTAAATTTAAAAACAGTAAAAGAGATTTTGAATTAAGATGGACCTTTGCTTTTGCAAATTTTTAATCCTTATTCTTGCAAATTTTTTTGTTGACGTAAATTGTTAACTTATCTCCGAATTAATATAAGCTTTTATCGATTGTCTTTAGCGAAAGTACAATAGAAATTACTAAACTCTAAAGCCTGCGTCACACTATATATTACGGACGCGGATCAGATTGGGATTGCGGATCGCGGATCGGAATTCAGCCGATCAATCCGAAACTGCCTCACCTTGATTGACTGAATTTCGATCCACAATCCCAATTCGATTCGCGTCAGCAATATGTAATGTGACGGGCTTAAACTTTTGGCCTGACTGAATTTAGAATTAAGCCTGATAATTTAGAAGCCAAAAAGTTGGAAGTGATGATACGAGAGCAAACATTATGTCCAGCTCCAATCTTTAATCAATTGTAATTTGCCTTAAAAATGACCGTATTATAAATAGATATTACATTAAAGCTTTTTAATAACAATATGTAATATATTGTCAATCAATATGTATAATAATAATATATAGTTGTTCATTTATTTTATTATAATTAATATTTATTTACTGCACAGATTTATACACTAATTATCTTTGAGTTTATATTCAGATATGTTATATCAAAGATATTATTATATTAAACGCCTTAATCATATTAAACATATAATAAAAATATAACATCTTAATTATAATAAAACCGAAGTAAAAAAACACAAATTTGCTGACAGTTCAATGGAAGTATTAAAAATATTAAATTAAAGTATCAATAAAATCTAGGAATCTAAGAAGTAAAAACATTATTAAAAATATAATATAAAATGTTGCGAGATTTTTCGACGGTTATCAATAAGATAAAAAGTTAATTTTTCTGTAAAATACAGATAAAATACAGAAAAAAATTAAATAAAGCTATCATTAATATCGTTAATACATACTCTATTAACTTTATTTAATCGTTTTGCTTTATAATGTTATTTGCCGATATCATTAAGATATAAACATATACATATTATCGAGTGAAAAATATTTTCCGAAAAATATCTAATGTATTAACAATTTATGATATGAATATAATAATAATTTATCATAAAGCTTAAACATCGACTTTACTTCAAAATCTAAATATATGTGTGTGTGTGTGTGTGTGTGTGTGTGTGTGTGTGTGTGTGTGTGTGTGTGTGTGTGTGTGTGTGTGTGTGTGTGTGTGTGTGTGTGTGTGTGTGTGTGTGTATAAAACAATAATATATATTGATAAATGTAATAACTCGAATTTCATCTAAAAAATTTTTTTAAATTTCTAATTTGTCAACGGTCACTTTCAATTTATTTTGTATTTCACAATATTATGTATTTTATTATATTTATTATATATATTTCTAAATATTAATTATATATTATATATTATATATTATATTATATATTATATTATATATTATATTTATATTATGCATTAATATTCTGAATTTGATATTGTATAAAGTATGAATCAAAGTATGTATGTTTAAAGTATGCATAACACACACTTTAAAATGTTACTTTAAAATATAGAAATATAGAATTTTGTAATCTAAACTTTTATTATAAAATATTGTGACCCATTTATCTGTATAATATTTGTGTAAATACTTTATAAATACGAATAGTTAGCCATTTCAGTGTACATAGGTACTGGATCGATACGATAGAGTTTCGTTGCTGGAGAAAAATATCCCAAATATTCTATCGCTTTCTCATCGTCTTCTGCCTTATGATAGTATCCGCCACAATTATTAGAATAAGAATGGACTTGAAATCGGGTTAAAAAAAGGTCCTGAAAAGAAATATCGAGTTTATATATTATTCACAATTCATATCAGTTTTAAAGCTGAAACATCAATGTTTTACTTCAAACTTTGAATTCCTAATGACAGTATGCCTATCAGTGTTGAGAAATGTAGTAAGTGCGATCACTGGCGTTTTAACTGACCAGTATCGAAGAGATTCTTTCTCAATTGTCAGTTTGTTATAAAACAAGCTACACCAATTATTTTGCATAACGTGATGTACTACTCTCGCATTTTTTACCATGAATACACCGCCACAACCTGCAGGAGCAAATATAGAAAATTAGAAAATATAGAAAATTCATTTATTTAATTATTGTGTCTCTTTCGCAGCTTTTCTCTTAAAATTGGGAAAATTATAGGTCAATGTATACACATTATATTTTTACATTTAATTTTAATGAACCATGGATATTAAATATATATTATAATGTATGGATTATAAAATATTATAAAAAAATATATATATATATATTTAAGTTTGTATTATTTAAATAAATATATATGTGTGTGTGTACATTTATAAAATGTATTTAAAAAATTTTATAATTTCAACTATTTTATATTATATACACGATTCATTAAATATAAAAATATAATGTGTATTTTTTTGTAAAGGAATGTTTCGTGTCTTACCTGTAAGTTCCAAATAATGTTTATCAGGATATATGCGACTAAACGCATGTTGCAAAGCATCTATGAAGTCACGTCCGTAGCGTTCCTTGGCTTCCACTTTGAGAACCTGCTCTCTCAAACCTTGGTTGACAAAGAAGTTACCATACATATGGCATTTGGGAAGAGGATTAGTTAACATTTCTAAGGTAAACTTAACGTCATTGTTTCTTGCCTCATCTACAAATGCGAAAAGAGTTTTATTTTTGACCATTCTATTTTCTGTTGGAGAAAATGTCGCATTCATAATGAGCTGTAAAATAGGAACGATTATGACAAATGAGTACCAAATTCGAAAGAAAAAAATGCCACGAAAAGAAATAGAAAAGGCTGAGAAATCAATATTTTTAACGTTATATGGAAGAATAAATATAAATAATATTTACATTGCCCAAATGATTATCTGATAATCTTCTCGAAAGACCTCCTCCGATAATGAAGATATCATTTTGATTGCAATTTAGATGTTTAAAAATATTTTCAAAATGGTATATCTTGCTTTCAATATGTTCTGGATAAACATTCGAAATACCACCGATATCCAAAATAGCTGTATCGCCGCCTAAACCTATGTATACATTAAATATTAGTGGCACAGGAAATATTAAAAACAATGTATTTCTTACCCGGTGCTGCAAGATTGAAAGGTTCCTGAGTCAAATCGGGACAATCCACCCATTCGGCTGTGACTTTTCCGAAACTTGTACTCAATTCATTTTCTACAGCTATTATTAGAAAAAGTTACATAATTATATAACGGTATTTAATAAAATAACCACATAATAATATCATTAATTACTAAATCAAAATAAATTGCAAATGTTATATGTGTATACCTGCAGCTAATTTCATTTTATCAGGTAGAAATAAATCTATTGGTATAATATCATAATCTAATACATTTTTGTTATTCATTATTTGTATCCAAACCTAAAATTGTCATGGTGAAATGTCAAAATTGAAATAGTGAAACAGAAAAGCCACTTAATCGTAATTATTTTAATTATTCTTAATAACCTAATGTGTAAGAATATAGGCATTAATTATGTGTCAATTGAAAGTATTTTAATGTAAAAAAAGTCACACAGTATTTTAATGTAAAAAAAGTCACTTAAATGTAATTTATTGTGCATTTATATGTATATAACGTTTATGATCTAATACTTACTAAAGAAATAAACTGAAATAAATTGATAATGTATAATTGCAATATTTCTGATTATGTTAATGCTTATTTTTGATTATGTTAATGCTATATAAAACAAATGTTTCTTCTTAAAGTGCGTAGATGTTACTAATTCGTTTGTGTTTTAAGCTTTTAAGCTCTCCGATTAAACATTTCGGTTAGAAACTAATTTGTTCTTCTAACAAAACAAAAACAAATCACATAAATAAATATTATATTGTAATTGTCATCGATTGATTGTAACAAATATTATTTTAAATATAAAAACCTAAAATATTATTTTTAAATATAAAAACCTAAATTAATTGTAAATGTACAAGTTAATTTTATATTGCATTCATTTTATTTCTAATTAAATATTAAATCTTAAACAGTAAGAAAAAACGTTAACATAGATGTTTAAAATAGATGTTTTCGTGAATTTTTGTTGGTAAATTAAATTGCAAACTTATCCGTGAATTAACATAAGCTAAGTTATTGACTTCAAGAAAATCTCAAACTCCGAAGTTTAAAATAAAAATAAAAATTGTTTTAACAAATATAAAGTAGAAATAAATAATTGTTTGGTGAATTTTTAAACTAGAATGATTTAAGACAAAAAAAAGCTTTGTATTAATTTAAAATTTTATGGATTTTTCTTTAAAGAAAATATATATATTTTCTTCATCAATCATATATATATATATATATATATATATATATATATATATATATTATATTATTATATTA